AGTCAGCAGTACGACTTCGCCCTCAGACCTTGGGTAGCTTCTTTTAGTCTCATCGTTCTCCAATCGACCTGCCTGGCATGGTAGAACCTTGAGGAACATATGTTCCAGCCAATATAGCTCGGTTGGGTCATCACGATAGGCAAGCCCGACCACCACGTCAAGGTAGGAGCTACGGTCGGGGGTAGCAGCTATGGTCCTATACTTGAGATGAACAACTCATCATATCCCATCGCTAAATGGCAAGTTGAAATTCTACAACCGTTCGGAAATCAACATGTTTTATAGCAGTCACCGATCAATTAAGTTCAGAGTCTGATTCAGAATTCCACTTCTTAGGCGTTCTGCTAAAAAAGAAACTGAACATTTTTCTATAGGAAGCTAATGTGGGCTGGTCGATACACAAATTTTAAATGTTCGGTCCTTCTGAAGCAAAAGAGAAACCTGATCCATTCTTTCTGCTCGGGAGCTAGACGAATATGTACTAAAGATACAATCGGCACTGAACTTGAAAAAATACGGCAGATACTGATCAACAATGGATGCCTGCATAGGTTCATCAAAAAAATATTGAATCCAAAATAACAACGTGAGAGTCGTTAGTACCGAAGAAAATGCTTTTCATGAATAAACAGTTTAAAGGGGATTCTGCAACAGAAGTTTTGTAAAACAGATTTTTACGATTTTTGAGGAAGACATTCTATTCAGCTGGACTGTATTATGTTTTCTAGTTATGTGGAGGATAAGTTCCCACTTTAGGCCAAATTAATGTGCATCTGTCAGTTTACTTGTTCGTATGCAGCAAGTCATATTCGCCACACAAGCGAGCTCTTTCGAAACACATCTTCAAACATTCCCCATACTGGCTGTCTAAAGGAATACAAAAGTCAGTTGAAAGCACCATCTCGGAAACTTAGTCAGTTCTGGACGTTCTACTTCACCAGAAGCCTCCTTTAAAATGCCGTCAGAATATTTGGCTCCAAGGGAATGTAAATAGAAAACCTATGTATAGCAGAGGTTATCATTATCCACCATTTCAAACCGAACCTTTGCATACTGAAACAGTATGTTCAATCGTTTATTCTTTCTTGTTTGTAAACCTTTCAATCGTTCTCTAATCTATGAGTTTTTGGGTGTTTTTGTCTAAATTTTTAGTTAGTAATACTTATTAGCCATTATCACAACTTTTGTTTATTCTGTTCTTAATGGTTATCACGTGGGTAATTAACCTTGCCTTAGCACCTTTCACTAACCGATTATTACATAACTCTCCTTCAATATTTAATTTTCATCAACAATTCATGCCATGATATGACTTAAAGTTTGCTTTATTATTATTTCGTATCATTCTATTGTACTATAAATTACTATTTTAGCAAATAAAGTTATAAATATGAATGTACAGATTAAGTAAAGGAAATCGTTTGAAAGAAAATTTTCTTCGCTGAACTGCCTTTATTTTTTACTCAATAAGACAACTGTTTGAATAACTATCTCTTAGCTTCTAAATAAATGTCTTTTTATCGAAACAAGATAACTGAATAAGTCGGTACAATAAATAGATGTAAACAGTATTTAGATCTTCATTTCATTCTTGTTATTTTTAGTAGATCAAACGTATCCGAGTTGAAAATTTTGTACCTGAATAGTTGATAGTTCTGCTTATTTTTAACTATAGTTTGAGTTGTCAGTCTAGTAAATCAATTATCCTTTTGACCATCTTAATTATTCCAGCTAATGACTATTCAGTGAACTTGAATGGTAAGACATAAATAATAAAGCTGAACTGCTGAATATTTTTTCAATGATTGACCTCTGTTACCAACTGTTTTTATTCAATAGACTTTTTATCTGACTTGAGAAATTAATGCCATTTTTATGTTATGTATATACTATAATTGTAGACAGTATTTATTTATTTTCAATCTAAGTTTACGAGATCCCATGAATCGTAAAAGTATATTGCGAAAGTAAACTTATTTCTTTCTTTTTAAATATAAATTCATAAATGGAACGTTTTGAAAGAATTTTCAGGCTTATAGGATTAAAGAATGGTTTGACCTCGCTAAATATGCAATATTTACGTTCATATCGCCTAGTTATTTGTCTAATTTCTTGATATTTCTTTGCTGAATTTGCTTTCCTTGTGGATGTTGTCTAATTCAGTAGTTGTGTTAATGAAGGGTAAAACCAATTGATAAACATATTATTATTGATCCGAGCGATTGAGTTACTCAAAGGTAACAACCTTAAACTTTGATTTCCAACAACACTAAGACGAATTTAAAAACATCTATGATGTTATAGATATCGTTTGTTTTGAAGGTCTTAAAAACGCCTAATTCATTTCAAAGGCATATCAGCTAGTGTCTTTATAATAAATAAAAGATTATAAATTTTTTTTCAATAGAATATATATTTATCATAAATTGATTTGTATGAAACACGTTTTTCGATGTTGATTATTTTTTCTTCTCTAATGTTTACTCCATTCTCATTTCAGCTTGATCTTTATAGAAATTACAATAAAACAAAACATACAAAAGTATATGATGAATTAATGTCATTCATATGTCAATTACCGAATTTTACTCATCCACTTACTGTAAGTATTATTAAATATTCTAGGTATTAATAATCATTATAAATAATAATTATCATTTTAACTTAGTAATTCATTCTTTGTTTGTTCATTGTAGCCGATCGGGGATTCATCAAAAGCACGTCATTTATATATTAATGGATCTAAACGTGAAGGTGAGTTACTGTTTAGCTAAATGTTATTATTTAGAGGTTTATTTATTGTGTAGATAGTTTGACATGATATCCATAGGGAAACTGTTGAAAATGGAGTTATGGTTAAGAGTTGTTTCACTGCAAAGCTATACATATTTTTCACAGGATTAAACTCATAATAGTTACGTTTGAAGACAAGCACATTGTTTTTATATTACTTGCTGCTACAATGCACTTAAGTGTCAATGTAATATAACTCTATAATGTGATTTCCCTTTTTATTCATATACATATATAATATCCATTTACAAGAAATACACGTCCCTTATTTAAAATCTTATAAACAATATTCATTTCATATTGAAAATTTAAGTAAATAACTATGAATTTATTTCTATTTCAATGTAATATTTACAATCAGAAAACTGGAAACTTTTAGATGCAATCAGTATAACTTCAGGTTCAAAGCATTCTTCAATCAATCATAATAATATCAACTCTTCTATATCATCTATCAATCCTGTTAGTCATCTTCGTGTAAAACATACAACTTTAGGTGCTGGACATAGAACCTATTATTTTAGTGGACCATTAGCACAATTAGAATCTGCACTTATTGCATATACTGTGGATCGATTGAAGAAAAGTGGATTTGAATTTGTTTCTGTACCTGATATTCTACCTGAACCTATTATCAAAGCTTGTGGTTTTCCAACTCAAGGAATTCGTTCACAGGTAATACATTTCTTGTATGATTTATTGATTTCCTATTATTATGATGTAAACATTTAGTGAAATATCAAGTGATACTGTTGAAATATTTCAAATCAAACTGGTTTTCGTATGTTGCATAAATTTTATCTCAATTGTTATAATCATAGAATAATTTTGTTTTTCGTCAGTATTACCAAAACACTACCATTATAGTGATACGGTAATAGTATTTTTACTTTAAGAAAATGTGATAAAAAATTTTGTTTTTAAAATGCTCCAGTTAGATTTGTAACATTTACAGTTCATATTCATATGTGATCTTATCATTAACAAGTTAGGAGTTTGATTTCAATATTTGGGAGCTTAATATTCTTAACTTACTTTAAACACCGTGTTGATATTCGTAATCGTTCAAATAGACTGTGGAGTTGTTTCATTTCTATGACTGAAAAACATCTGGAACTCAAAACAACTGTCAACCAACTTCAAGGTCAGAATTTTCAATTCGCACGACGAAACAGTCCTATTGTATAAAGCTGAAACTAGGTGAGCTCCGAAAACTATAGTTCAAGAGATACAAGTATGTATAAACAATTGTCTACTTAAGATATTCCGAACCCATTGGCCGGACACCATCAGCAATAACCTACTGTGGCAGAGAGCAAAATAACTTCCACCTGAGGAAGAAATCGGAAAACACTGGATGTAAACAGGATGGAGAAAAAACAACTACTAATAGATCGAAAAGAAGGATCCCTCATCAAGATACTAAAGAAAGGCGATCTCAACAAGTGTGCAAACTACAAAAGCATTACTCTTCTCGCAATAGCAAGAAAATTCTTCATTCAACGGAATGAAAGATTGAGTAGACGCCCAACTTCGAGATCAGCAGTCTGGATTTTGCAAGGATAGATCATGTACCAACCAAATCGTGACACTACGAGTTATTGTGGAATAATCAAATGAATGGGATTCACCACTAAACATCAACGTCCTTGAGTACGATAAATTTTCAAACAGAGTGGACAAGTTGACACTATGGAGGCTCCTTCGACACTACAGAGCATCAGTAGCATCTTATTGTGGGAAATAAAAAACCAGATTCCAGCAGACAAAATATCAGGAAGAAGCGCCGGAAGTGTATAAGACACACATTGAGGAAATCACCCAGCTGTGTCACAAGACAAGCTGTAACCTGTGATTCTTGATGCCAAAGGAAAAGAGGAAGACTGAAGAACACATTACGTCGAAAGTCGGGAGAAGATATGGAAAAAACTTACAGGAATTAGGTAAAACTGGAAAAGTAAGCATAGGACAGAGTTGTTTGGAGAATGTTGGTCGACGGCCTGTGCTCCACGAGGGATAACAGATGTAAGTAAGTAAGGAGGTAGATAAGATACTGTGGAAATCGCCCAACTGCGTGACAAGGTAAGCCCTAATTCGGAATCCTCAAAGCAAAAGGAATAGAGAAATATCAACGTACACATTGCACTGAAAATTGGGAACAGACAGCAAAAGAATGGATAACGAATGAGAAAAGTTGGAAAGAAGAACTCATGAGAGAGTTTGGAGAATCCTGATCGGCGGCCTATGCTTAAAAAGCGTTAATAGGCACTAAATTAGATATGTTTAATTGTAAAATATACTCATATCTGATATCGAATACCAAATCATTTATGTACACATAGTGCTTTGTTTCTGAAACTAAATAGTTCTACATATCACTAAATACTGTTTTAACAGTTTAAAATATTTTGAATTTATGAATTATTTTAATAACCGTAGAACAATTATAATGAATAACCAATAACTCCAATCATTTGAAAACAGTAGGTTTTTCTCAAGTAATAAATATAATTTCAGGGAAAGCCTGTGTGCAACTACTCTTTAGGATACATTTCTAAAATTAGTAAATTGAAATAGTTACTTGCTAGTCGGTTCATCAGGAATTCTGCGATATTTTTCATGAATATCTATTTTTACTAATTAATGTATGATTTGTAATTTCCATTTTTTTTATTCTCACTCACCTACGATTTCTCAATTCGTTATACTACAGATTTATGAAATAACCCCACCTATATCTAAATTAACTTATTGTCTTTCTGGAACATCTGAAATTGCATTAGCTGGATTTTGTGCTGGTCGATCCTTTAATTGTACTTCATCTGAAAATGATAGATCAGATGAATCAAATCAATCTTCTGCACTTGGTTTATGTGCTGTGAGTCGATGTTTTCGTAAAGAAGTTCCTAATCAAGAGCCAACTCTTTATCGAGTACATCAGTTTACTAAAGTATGTACATTCAATTAAATTTAATTACTTGTTATTTAAAAAGTTTGAAAATTAGCGATTCTATCAATGGATTTCCAATCTAATTTATAGGTGTATACTATCGTTATAGTCATTCATTATAAATTAAATTCTTTTTATAGTTTTCATATGTTAGTGTCTCTGAAGAACTGGCTACGTTTGATATTCACATATTACTACCAAATATCTAGTCTAAAAAATAATGTCGTGTTGCATGTAGAATCTGATAATTAAGTACCTTGTCACTGTAATGTATATCCTGGTTCTCTTAAATATTAAAAATTATATTTAACTTATTAATTTCAAAACTTAGACGGTTTTCTTGTTATCAGGATACCTGACAGAACGTTTCGTCGTTCTCTTTCATATTTCAAATTCAAAATGTCTAAAGTCTGTCGGGACTCCAAGTAAGCAAAACATACAATAATTACTATCATAACTGCTATCTCAGATATAAATATATAAATTTTGAATTATACATAGAAATATACGTATTTTCTGTAACACAGCACTGGTAAACCGGTCGAAATAAACGCTTCACATAGTTGTATAGTAAGCACCTTATTCTTTTGATTAGAGCGACTTATTTTTATCTTCAAATTTTCAAATATGACTAATACTTTATCGAATGACTATAGGTATCCTTCATCAGTCTAAGTGCATTGATGATTGAAGTACTTATTTGGGCTTTAATTAACCTGTGTGCTTTGTTCTATAGACATGGGGGGTGCTTGTACAAGCAACCAAATAGCTCTTCGAAAGAAAAATCACAATGTAAAAAAAAAAATAAATCTCCTGTTGTAACTCTAATTATATACGAGAACTTGTTTGGCCTAGACTGGTCATTGTACTTGTTTGCGGTGGAAATAAACCTTTTATAGAAACATTTTAAAGAGAATCCAGAATGTTCAAAACTCAAAATAAAAAAATTGTCATGTGTTTTCACTTGTATATCAAGCAACTTAAACGGTAAGGTCATAATCTTCAAACTCACGGCTTTGTTACATTTGTATTAATATGTTATTTGCTTTTCAATTCAATCAGGTAGAGAATGGTTTTGGGCTATTACTGCACCTATCCATTATCTGTTTAGTGTGTGCAATGTTCAATGACATTATTATTAAACTGCAAAATAATGGTCTATGTCGCTGATTAGGTTTGCATATTTAGGTAAATCGGAGATTTGTCTGTAAGAATATGGGGACCCATTTCTTGTAGAAATATCGATTATTTATTAATTACACATCCATGATTGGTTATATTCTCAATGAACATTCTAGATTATAATGCCGTTAGCTCTAATACTACATCATTACATGATTGGTCAATGATTTTGAAAATAAAAAACAAAAAAGTTAAAATAAAAAACACTAAAAAAAAATACAACAAAAACAAAACAAACACCGGAAAAAAACACAACAAACAAAGAGAGGCCTAAAGATTTCACAACTCTATTAATTTAAAGGATAGTGTGGATCACAGTTTGCTTGTGTGCTAATCCCAGACAAGGCTAAACGGGACATATAAGGACATGGGTGATGGCTGCGAAGTTGGTTGTGTGCGAGGCCGCCTCACTTAATCTGTGGATCCTCATGCACGAGTTTGATGGAGGCCTGGTGACTGACGAAGATCTCATGCCTATTGATTACAGAAGAGCTGCGATTGGATTTTATGCGCAACCCTCACAGTCCACTAAAGGGCTACCGGAACGATCTGAGAGATGTCGGTTTCTGGCTAAACCAAGCAAGAAGACGTAGTCTACTGAGCACAAGCAGTCGTCGCGGGGCTACACACCGTCTCTAGCTTTGGCAGACTGTGAAACACGGTGTTTAAACCGCCTGCACGGTAAACACGAACCAGTCAACTTGATATGCCTTGTGGCCCGTAGTCACGAAGTTTGACCTAAGGTCTCGAAAAAAGAAAACGAGATCGAGAATCCGGTGACATGACATGCTACTACTCAAATCCGATTATCCCAACCCCCATATTCAGTGGAAATAAGAAGATAAGACTTGATATGAAGTAGTACCTGTATTCTACAAGCATCCAGAAAGTACGAGGTCCGTATCCAGAAGAGAATCAGGATCCCGAACTAGGGATCCGGGACCGAGCCTTGGTCCTTGTCGTGGTCATAAAATGTTACAGATAATGCGTATTTATACATTTTGGTCGAATAAGAAACAGCATCGAATTCTGTGGCATTGACAGTTAAGACGATCAATAGGAAGTAACACTTGAAAGGACATTGAACCAGTCCGGATGTGACCAATAAGAGCAACATTGAAGTTTTGACCTATCTGACAGTTAAACGACCATAAAAACAATTGGACCAATAGGATTTGGCAATAATTCTCTTTGGTTGTGAGGGTATTGGATGAATATTCCGAAACACACGGACATTAAGAAGAGACG